TGTTATCCAGATAAGTTCCAAGGATTAGACTTTTTGGCAGTTCCTAGGCTTTTTTGCACCTCTTGGACATTTTTGGCCGTTCTGAGACGTTACGTTCTTAGGATTTTTGGCTTCTATCGGCCCAAAACTTAGTCTCGTTGTATGTAGCATATTTGAGCGTAGGGGAATGTACATTTACCAATCGTGCTAAGGATTACCATAAAAAAAAAAAAGCTATGAGTGAATTAAAAAATAATATTCTGAAAATAATTAACCAGTAGTTAGGTCCTCAATTCAGGCTGTAATGACAGTGAATAACTATAACTGTAAGGAATGACACTTGTAGTGCATGTAAGAAAATCATTAAAATATCTTTTTTTTTTTTTAAATTTAGATACATTCATAAAAACAAAACTATGAAAAAATCCCAATTTGAAGGCTGTGTCCTGTATATTTATGTGGTAGGCTAATCCGACGGGAGTTAGAATACTTTTGATCTACGTACCGTTAACAGACAAAACCTGGCTAGTAAATACCCCGGTCTATTATAAAGTTATGAGTGAAAAACCAGGTGATTTTTTTACTTTAGAAAAAATTATTTCAAAAATAAAAACATCTTTTAGTCTCAAGTATCAAATTTAGCGCTCCAGAAATTCATCGAAGATCGGTTAAGACATCAGGCAAGGAAGCTTTAAGCGGAAGCACTGTACGCGAATGGCGCAAACGTCCCACGAACGGAAATTGGGGTATTGAAAACTAAAGAAACGAAATTTTGCGACCCAAAGGATAAAGACGCATTGCCGCAATTGAGGAGGCTTTTCACGAAAGCAGAGCTTGAAGTCTAAGCTTTTGGCCAATACTGGCACTTCGTATGTGTCATATTATAGAATTATAATCCAGATACTCAAAATGTGACGATCGAACAGCTCGTCTTAATTAAATTAAAGACACGTTATGTATTCGATGTGGAATTCGCGAAACTTTAATCATCAGAAAATCGCCTGGAACTTACGGTGGTCGTAGACGAAACAGTTCGATTTCTACCGCCAACCAGACAGACAGAGACCAGTGGCGTCGCCCGAAGAGAAGCTGAGCTCGAACTTAATGTGATGGTATTATATGCAATGGACATCTGGAATAAGTACTACCATACGACGTTTGCCAAAAATTAATCAATGAATACTGCTTGTTATCTCGAATTTTTCAAAGGACGGTTTCCCGAACGATTGGTACGATAGCCGAAAGCACACAACCTGGTTACCTAACAACTCGGTTATACCTCATTGCCATGTCTCTGTTACCTTCTGGATTGAGCAAAAATATATTCAACGTTAGCCTTAACCTGCTTGTTCTCCTGATCTAAGTGCGCATCATTATAAGGCTTTCTATACCCTAAAAAAATAACTGGTGGGAAAGCGTATATCGCTATCCATTTACTTTGACAAGCCATAAATAAAGAATCTGCATAGAAATCACACGTAGGAACGTGAATGGAAAATATATGACTGTCCAGAACATGCTAGTGTGCTAGAAAAGTGTGCAAAAGATAAAAGAAAGTACCTCTAACATATTAAGCATCATCATTCTAGCACAAGTAGTTCAAAAGTTATTAAGTTTCAAACTACACTAGGTTCGGCTATAACAGCATAACAGATACGTACAATTTTCATCACATCTATCTAAGTAGAAAGAAATATGTAAACAAACACAGTAAAAATGGAGATTTAATGTTACATTTAGGATAAATGTATCCTAGTACCATTTCTATAATCCTATGGTTGTGCTAATGGATTCAATGCAATATTACACGCAAGTGACTATCGGTAAACCATCTTATCCAACGAAACGACAGTTTCTTATGACACGAGTGAATTATGTCGCACATGTGATTATACATTTATATAAAAGGATATTTTCTTAGATTCGGCCCCAACAAGGTTTTCGGATCAAGTCGCAAATTTCTCGCTCATCGCAAAAAGCTCCCTTTAACCAGTCACAACTTGTCGTTGAACATGTCCTATATAATGTATTAACATGTTTGACAATATATATCCACGGAGTTCGAAAACCAAGTTTCTAGCTATTCAGGACAAAAAACATACACAAATGGTTTGTATCAACAAGTTCTTGGAAACTACAATTTCAGAGCAAAGAAGGCCAAGCAGTGTTTCGAACGACGAGCGCCAGTTGTCACTCGACGACTGCCACCTGAAGTCGATGCCTATTCCCTTTTCGTTGTATCCTGTTGGATATATTTGCTTTACTTAATTGGATTTGTCATGAAGTATGTAGTGGTGTTGTTAGAGTTTGAGCCGGCTACCCTGGCGCTTTCAGTCAAAATTTCAACTGTTCAAGCCGACATAAACATAAACGTCAGCGGCAGACAATATTCACGAAGTCAAAGGAAACTGGAATGAGAGAAGTGGAGAACAACATCCTGTAAACAACAGTTTTTCACGCGCCATCTGTTAATTCTGCATTATTTTTTAAATTTTTTATAACAGTTTTATGCGAACAATGTTCTTTCTATGTGAACAGACCCTCGGAATAACCTCTTTCAAATATAACGTCAAAAATGTATCCCCTTCTACTTTAGGAATCTAACCGAAGCGGATCTTGCCAAACCTAACTGGAGTTTTTTTTAACTTATTTAACTATGAAACGGCATAGCTGCCACATCTGCAGTTGTCGACCTTGAGAATAGTTCTTCATATTCCTTAAATACATTATTTTTCCTTGATTATTTATCTTGATCTCTTTGATTTTGCTGAAAAACTAAAACTTGCCATCATCCTAACGCACCTTCCTCAAAGACTTCCATGATAGAAGCTCATATAATCGCATGTCCCACAAACCAAACGTTTCGTACTGATCATCTAGTTTGACTACTATGTGCTATTGTAGGTTTTATACGCCGATATTTCAACGTGGTTCTAAACAAAGGTTTATGGTGCATCATCAACCGATAATGGTGGACAGAAAACGCAGAGCAGAGTCCCCGTCGGAGCTTAGTGGGTCTTTGCTTGCTAATGTTAGACACGTTGTGGAACACCGGTGTAGACAGGCTTCGTTTTGTGCTGGAAGCCAGCCAACCGTTTGATAGATTGCCTAACGATGATACCAGAAGTAAAACTCGAAACATAGAAATTCAGCAAAAGTAAATTCGACTTTGGAAGCACGCCATCATCACTAAAATGAAACCCGCGCCATATGCGACGCCTTTGAAGTCACCAGCCCGTCTCCGATACCCTAATAAGTGGCAGGCCGAAAACGGCTACCTATCAGAAGATAACAAATGTTAGAAAGTTATTTATTAAGAACTCCGAGAAATTCACAGGAAGAATTTCTCCCGAGCTAGATATAGCCCAGGGATCTTTGAGGCGTATAACGCAAAAATTAGTTTTGAGAATGTATCAGCTGACATTGCTTCATGATTTGCTGTATGCACATTTGTTTTGAATAAAAAAAGATCGCAGAATTATAGTGTGTTTGATACGGTACTTTTTTCGTGCAGTTATGTTAGGTTCTATTCGTTATATATGGAATCACTCCAAACATTTACCATGAGAAATTACTATGGGGTTTATCTAGAAGGGGTCCACGTCATGACTGAGGCCGCTTCAGTTTCCCGCTGAAATTTGTGAAAACAGGGCTTGTAGTGTGGACTGACAGTCCCGATGTAAAATACTATATGCGATCTTTCTTTTCATCGATGGTTGGCTATTTTCATTGCTATTTCTGTTGCTTCAGATAAGAGATAAGGACTTACAATGTATGTACTCCCTATGACCAAAGAAACGTGCAGGATGTGTTGCTTGTTACACTACTTACGCCGGCCACCTCGATCCACGTCTTCTTGTTATGGTTACGGCCTTTGCTGCCACTATTGTGCTACAGTAGGACGAAGAAACCAAGAGACTTTTTAAAAGAAAATCTCTTTAATGGTTAAATTGAGCACGCATCAGTATGAGACTAATATATTAAATATATCGCATAGATGGTGCGATCTGATGAAGCTCATTTCAAATTCTCAGGTGCTCAAAATCGATGATATAATGCCTATTGGGCAACAAAAAATCCTCATCAGAGTAGTGAAGGTTAGAGCAGCAGCTGAATTGGCCGAAATCAATCGCTGTCATTTCACCAGTTGTTGGCTATGTTTCTTTTTCTTGCAGTATTTACGATTTGCACCTGAGTGCGCTACCAGACATCATTCTGTCACCATTTAGACTGCAATACGGTAGCTTGTCTCTTTTTTTCTAACTAGTCGAAGCGCTACTGCGTTGCGCATCAAACGTGTTCAAATTCCTGGACGAAGTTGCCAAATAGATAAATAGATCAACGAGGTTTACTGGAATAGCTGCCGCGATTATCGGATCGCACGTCAATGGACTTTCGCGGCTCCTAAAGTCTGGTTACTGCTAAGCTCTTTGCGTAGAAATCATTGATCGTAGACATGACGCAAGTGTTCGTTTAAATCTAAAAAGCAGACCGCAGAAATGTATAAATAGTGAAAAGCGTTAAATTGAGTAGTTATAACGCAATGTCAAGATTGCCCTGCTACAATTATCTTACGCAGTTAAATATGGTTTTTATTCCACTTATTCACGTATCTTTTACTACTGTAACAAATGTAACGTAAAACTCTCCAACTAAGACTTTTGCCTCACCCTATCCATATGTATTTGTGCAATGATGCGCATTAGAGTTCTCCTCGAGTTCAATAAATAACCATTATCAAGAAAAGCAGGCAGTCGTAAATATTTTAATGAATGATAAGCCTAGCTCACTATGGTTAGGTAAACCTTTGTACATTTTGTCAAAAGCTTATTTATGGGCCAATGGTGTTCAATCACAGATTATAAACACCAGACCGCTTAAAAACTTTTCTAAAAATGAACAAATTTGCACTATACTATATACATGAATATATGTACGCTTGTTTTTAATGCAGCCGGATGAGTGCCTTATACTACTCATTCATCAGGCACTGTTGAGCATCGAACGCAAGCTAAGCAATAGACGAAATTCAGGTAGAAAAATGTTAATTTATTTCATCTTGTTGCTACCTTTATCTATTTGGTTTCATTATTTTATTACGCTTTTGGTTTTTCATATAGCGTTATCGATCTGGTATACGCATTCTACGGTGCCAGTGTTCTTCTAAAATTTATTTTCTATACATGATTGCGTTTCGGCCGCCCAGTCGTTGGCTCAGCCGAATCAGGAAGTTATTTTTCCTCCTCATACCGCCATGGCCTAGCCATGACCGTTCGAAGACGTCATTTATTTAACGCGGCAATGAATGACCATTTCTTTCCATTATTCGCAGGGCCATACGCCTATTAATAGTATGTGGCCTACAGCACGCGGTGCTCCACCTTTTTCAAAAAAAGTCGCTCCACTAAACCAGTTCTCTTCCGGCGATTCTATGACAACCTTACACATATACGTAACTTCTAGATAAAAAGCCCTGAACTCCGCAGACACAGTGACCATTAGTATTATTCTTAAACTCGTTATCCTCTGATTGATAAAATTTATGTTACTTAAAGCGCAGAGCACGCTTTGCGTGCAATTCGTCCGTATTTGCCTGTGACGTAACCTAAGACCTGGTGCGATATAAATACAATCTGTTGTTCCACTAAAATGTTTTCCTTTAAAGCATAAGACACTTAAATAAGTACAAAATACTTCTATAGCTGTTGCCTGGACGTTATAATCTTTGACTGTTTGGTTTGAAGTAGTTTGTCTGTAACAGAGCATTTTGTGCAAGAATGTTCGTTTTTTGTTAGAATTCGCAGCAGCAGCATAGACCTATTTAGGTCGGTCTAAACAATAATAATTTGTCCGCAGTTTTTCGTCTTATTATTAACCTTCATATGCCTTTATTCACTTTTTATTAATCATCTTCCTATACAATTAGCAAATAATTACTTTACGGAATTTGTGTTAAAAACAGATTGTTTCAGCACTCTAGAAGTAGCGAATTTATGCGGATACTAGGGTGTTCACTAAACTTCTTTGTTATTAATTCATTTGTTAATTATTTGTTTACCTGAATGTTACCAGAATAAATGATCGTGGCTGAATTGCTTACGACGCGCAATAATCACAGTTACAGCGTCTATTTCCTCACCGCCGAAATTTGCGAAGATTCGGCCTGCATTGCGGAGTGTTAGCTAGTCACCGGAATTGCGGTTCAAGGAATTTGCAACCGCAATTTGTACATTTACTAAAAAACATTGTCGCCATCGAGAAACTTGTGACCCGGTATGAGTTTCACGCGCCGTAAATTCCAAACTACCAGGAAATTCGGTCTATCTATGCGCAATGATTAAAACACCGCTCGAAGATCTTTAGTTCAAGAAAGAATAAATCATTTTGATTCGGTAGAGATAAAAAGATCTATGTCAAAGGCAGTGTAGAAAGAACAAGTATGTATGGATTAAAACACGTGCAGCAGCGCGGACCTAAATTTTTGTCGAAATCTCACTACGACAGTGGACACCACGCAAAAGCTAACTGGAGATCTCTCAAGGGCTCAGCTTACTTCGTTTGAATGAGTCTTCCTCCATGAACCGGACAGCAGCGGCTGTCTTAGCCGTTTTGGCCATAATATGTGTGCATTTAATAGAGACATGTGAGATGATGTAGATTTGAATCAAAACGTAGGTATCGTTCGGTCTGAAGCAACGTTGTACGGCAGCACCGGAAACGTGGATGGTTTGTATATATATATATATATATATATATATATATAGTTTGGCTTCGTCGTTTATCCTCATTCTTATCCTTATTGTCGTCGCCACTAGAAAGGAAATTGCTACAATGACTGCTAAACGCGTTGCTTGACATTAAAGGTCTAGATCGGTCTTAAAAATGCTAACAGTACTTTAATTCAACAATAATATGTGTATGCGCTAAGATACTTCGACACTAATCATTAAACATGGAAACAATGTTCTAATTATTGGACTCACCGGCTCATTCCTCTGTCCTAATTCAGGTCCGTATTATTACCAGAACACACCAAGATGGGATAAATCCCTCAATTCTTGACTTCCTCAGCAAATTCATTGTGCACCATTACTAATTGCGAGTGACCGTAATGAAGTAATAGGAAACTCGTTCTACTGTTGTGGCCTAAAAAATCTGTATCTCGTATATTGGAAACAAGATTCAATATGAGCAGCTCTAATGCAATATGTTACCAATTTGTTGAATATTTCAGTGTTTGTGATTTCTAAGCGCCGGGCATACCCGCAAGAACACGTCATTTGCCTCTCCCTACGAGGCATGTGAAGATCATGATTTTTGCAATTTTATCAACAATTGGAAGTACTATTGGATTTGATATATAAAATTGCTTAGTTGGACTAGTTGTACGACGTTTAATTTGTACCTGCGTGTCCTCTGCCTACCCCTGTAATCTTCTCTGCCGGTTATATGCAGGTTCAGGAAGCTGCAGATGTCCTCTCAGATCGCATTCGAGATTATAAGAGTAGCACATAGTGCCATTTGTTATAACTATTATTATAACTAGTCATAAAGCATTAATGACATTTACCTCTCTCGCCCTCTCCCTCTGGCATATTTATTCCCCTTTTTGATCTCGTATCATCGTTTCATTTTTATATTATTTATTTTTTTTTTTTATTTATCGGCTAAAGACCAGCATCGTTGTCGTTGTATTATTGTCATGGACGACAGTAAGGGACGTGTTGGTAAATAACATGTGAACACATTATTCACAGGTTATGACGCATGCGAATCGTGTCTCTTTTTTGCTAAGACGGACACCTATTTACCCTGCCCTCAGCTTCTCCAAGAAAAAAAATTGACTTTTTTCTTATTTAAAAAATAGTACTACTAGCAGTAATTGTACAACTAATAATAGAGTATGCAGCATGCATACCTGTGGACCATCCGAAGTATGTGATTATCTACGTGTTTGTTTTGTTTAAAAAAGAAAAAGCATAGTAATGCCTTTGCTCAATTAGGCGCAAAATCTTTGTGGTCTGCCATTTCCCCGTCGAATACTTATTTGTGTTGCGCCACTCACGCATTGCATTACCTGCTAAAATAATATTGCACCGCATCGAATCACTGATACAAATAAACGATGTTATTATGGTCAGAAGGTCAAACGCTGCACGCTCTACTTTGCGCCAAATGAACAACTAACCTTATTGAACTATATAACTATATCTATTTGCTTTACTTGTCTTTCTTCCTCCCACAGAAATCTGTTCGAATCACCTCACTATAACAAACTTTATATTTCCCGATTTTTCTTATTCGAACCTTCAGCAAACCGACTTAACAATAATTCACCCTAACAGTAAGAATAGTCTATTATTATTTCAAAAATAATTCTCATAATGTTTCCTATTTTCCCTTTCTTACATTTGTGGTATTGGTCTCTATCAAATTATACTATTATATTAAAGATTCTCATGCTGCCGTTGATGCTGCACTTGTTGTGGCGCGTGTTGTGGCGACCCAGCCTGGATAACTGGGAAGAGGAGAGCAGTGTTGTGTTGTGGGAGAAGGTTTGATGTCCCTCGCGGCCCGGACGAATCGGCACTGAAACAACAATGCACACCCACAACACAGCATCGAATATAATAATTACGGCTACAGCCTACGACGACAATATTGCCACAACACACAGTGTTAAGGGTGGGTAATCGATAGGTAAATCAATGTGGATAATACGCAAAACATTATAGGTTAGTAAGTTTACACGTTCTTATTTTCTATAGAGGCTCTTTACCACAGTAATCGTGACAACGTCAACAAACCACCACGCAATAGCAGCAGTACTAAGCAATGACGAACGGTAGAGACAGAAAATGGCCTAAACAACAAGAGTACCATAAGAACAGTTGCGTGTGATGGTATAACATAGTGAAATGTGAAGTCGTGGTAATGAAGGAAAAGCGACATTTTACCAAAACTAATGTCTTTGAGTATATATATACCACTAATATGTACAATAAAGGCATGCCAAGGAGGCGTATACAAATGGTGGACTGTACCTATTGAATTCCAAAGATATCAAAATAAAAGGCCGAAAGCTGGTGGGAAGTCTGTCATGTATTCGGCAATAGAGTGTTGACTTACTCGCTGGCTGAGTACCGGTTCCGAAAAAATGATCGAGTATTGAAGAAAGATGTTCATATAGTAGTAACCCTCTGACTATCTGAATTTTTCTCTAAAGTTCTCCAACATCACCGAAAGCGCCTCTCTAGAGTATAGACACCTGATATTTGAAATGATCACCCACTTATCTAATAATTTAAAGAAAGCTAATAACATTCCAATGAAGTAAAGATAATAATAAAGAGAAGATGCACTTACTAAATAACACAAACTTTATATGTCCAATATATAGACACATGATTATTATTAATATTATTATTCAATCATCATTATTATTATTATTATTACAGTACTGTACAGAACTACTTTCTACTGTCGTTTAATCTTACACCTGATTTGAGGCAATATTTAATGTGGTTCAAGTTTCCGGCACACACTTCACAAACTAAGCATGAAAAGAGTACATCAATACTATCAACTAGCATCAAACAACGTCAACTAGCTCTGACAAAGTGTCTAAGCTAGCTTACAGAACACATACGGATGATAGCTGATCTCAAAAGTCCTCGACAATTGTTATATTCACATTTGATTCTTTATTTAACGGGACCCGGGATCTGTTTGTGCTTTTTTCCTAAAAATTTAGTAAATTCTGAAACTATCGCCTGACTTGCATACGCTTTATTCTGCCGCCGAGATAGCTCAGTAACTGACACAAAAGGTTAGCCCGCAAAAGACACAGCTTATGTTGTTTTTGACAGGTGCTTCACCTTTGACACAGGATCTTGTCCACTTTGTTCACTGCTAATTTTTTGCTCTCTTTTTGCCACTTATGCAGACATTCAGCTCATATTTTTGTATTAAATATAATTTTATATAATATTATCATTAAATGTTTCTTCTTTCTTAGTTTGTTGTAGGTGTCGTACGCACTCGAGCAGTCCATAAAGATTTGCTGCAATACTCGAACCTCGGCCAGTATCAGCAGCAAATGAAAACTCGGGCCATTTCGTCTTTGTTACCAGTACATTGTCCAGCATAATATTATGCTTGTGGCCAAGCTCAATGGGTCTAAGCTTAGAAGAGAAAATCTAGCAATATCCGAGGTATTCTCCGTCATAGGCTTCGGGCGTTTATTTATAACAGATAATAAAGGAAGCGCGGTTTTTTAAAACCCTTGTGACGGTTTCTCACATTTTGTTAAGGTGCCCGCGTCTTTGGATGGGTTGAGTGTAGGACTAAAAACTTCAGTTCATGCAGCGGTCAGTGCATATGGAAGAGATGATGACGTCAGCGGGCAGAAAACCAGTGGTGGACGTTTGGTGCATAATAACAGGTCTGGTTCATGTTGGTGGGAGCAATTTTGAAGTGCTGACGATACAGAGATGGTTTATGGGAGATACCCGCCCCCCTCCCCTCCCCTGGCGCTAAGTCTCACTACTAGTCTCGCCGCGTTTAGTGTTAGTTCAACTTAGATTTCTCTGTGATGGTTCTATTGTAATTGTTGGTTTTTGTTGCTGTTGTTGACCTCACTTGCTAAGGAAGCTCGTTGCCGACTCTGGCTGCTGACGGGGCTTGTACTTCTGTTTGCCCACCGAGAACGGAATGTAACGATACTTGATCATGTGCTGAAATGAAAAAGTAGAAACCCAAAAAAAGGACAAGGCAGCATTTAGTACTGGATAGCCTAAGTAAAATGTATAAATGAATTAATTGACCAATGTTATCTATATGTCTACAAGTAGCACACATACATATAAATCGATTAAATTTTCATACAAAGATAGAAGTGGATCCGAATAATTTCAAAGATAGATTTTTACAATTTGTTTGTTAGTCTAGTAAGCTAAAGATTAATAAGTCTTATGCATTATATCTAGGAACGCGCTTTATTACGGTTAAAAAAACAATTGGTTTCAGTTCTGTGAAGCATGAGGCTTCAGTAAATTGCAGTTCAGGTTTGTTAAACCGAGCCATTACGCTCATGTCTGGCGGTGGGACTTTCTATAATCAGCTGCTGAATTTATATAACTAGTCATCAAGCAAGCAAATACCCTGGTCAGGGTACGTGAAGGCGACTTAATATCAATATTAGCTTTATTTAAGATAAACCTTATGACGTTTATTGCAGGTTTTGCTAATATGGTAATCAATAATTAAAACGATTTACTACCGTTTTACTATCGGTGACCCGCTTCCCGATGGCGGACTACTGTCCTTCAAGCAGTGGGAATCATTTCAATTTTTTTGCAATTAATAGTCCGTCTATAAAGATAGCTGAAGTTCGCACACTTGAACAGAAACCAGAACAGCATAAAAGATTTTTCCCAATTAAATTACACATTAGTTAGGCTCAATTACTTTAAGAGATATTGCAAATTCTGTCCCCGTATTATCGCAGAGAATAAAGTGTTTGCCTGCTAAACATAGGTACATGTGGTAGTTAAATTTGAATTCGGACATAGACACTTTTTCGCGCTGGTAGAAACCAGCCTCCTGAAATAATGCCGAACGGCTGAAGTACCGAACGCGAAATACGCAAAACACGCATCGCAAATATCTTTCTATTCGTGGTGCGTTATCATGTAGCACATAATCACAACAACCATCGCAAAGCCGGAATTATTGTTCTCATAATATGGACGACTAAAATACAACGCATAATTTGTGGTGCAGGCGAATGAGGTGCAAATATTTATATTTGCATTGCGATAAGTGCAGGTCGACTGCTACACATTGACATTATTGCTTACCTTTATCTGTTTCTTCATTGTCAATACAAATAAGGTGATGAAGTAAAGTAGAAGTATGGGCCAGAACACGGGAATGTTGAACGCCTCGAAGAAGGTACAAAAACTAGCGATGAGTGTCGCCTTCGTTGCCGAATACCAGAAATGAAATTCAGGTAGCCGACGAATAAAAGGACGAAACTCCTCATTGGTTCTTGTTGGTAAGCCCGGATCCCCGTCATCTATTCACGAAATATCAAAGAAACATTGAAGATATAATACTAAATAACTCCATAAATAATTCTATCATCATTGGTCTAAAATACTAAGTCAACGAAGATTAATTGTGCACTGTGTTTTATTGGGTATTATTACTGAGTACTGCCGCAGCTGAATAAATAATTTGTACCTGCGCGCATGTTGCTGGCAACTAAATTGTTTTCTTCTCCAAGCCTTGAGACACTTATAATCCTCCCAATATACACTACAAGATTATGATATACACATAGGACTTTACTGTGGGCTCAAGTCGAGTTGGTCAAGGGGATGAGTGACTTTATGCGGTCCACGTACCGTAGTCATCTGCTAGCGCTGGATCCATTTTAGGTGTAAGAAATGCGATGAACAGATTTAGATGATAAATTCCTAAAGCGTACGTTACGATGTACCAGCCCTGAAGCAAAAATATGCGCAACAAGAAGGCGACTATCAGGAGGACACAGAAGAACCATCTTCCCACAGCGTATGGTGTTACGAAATCTAGTATACGCTGATACCTCTGAAATAATCGTAATAGCAACGTCAGATTTCAACCTAGGCGAATTAGAGTAAAATCAAAACGGGTACTTATTAGTTGAAACATAGAAATCTTAATGAAAAGAGGAACAAATTGTATATACTACTATACGTACTAGCGATTTCGCCATTCATTTTCACATAGGCATTTAGGTAGAACGACGACTGAAATGAACTTCGGGTGCTTCTATACTGAAAAAAATTACATCTTGCATATGATCACGAACCGGTGATATACATTATCATGAGTGTGTTTACAATTGTACCTGTGCAAGGCCTCGAAAGAGCAGCGCGACTACTGGAGGCTGGGGCCTCGTAACATCGGCTGTATGTTCCATTCTGTTTCAAATCTGTTGAATTTTTTCACCAGTTGCTACCGTATGTTCTATCCGTTAGATCATACGCCTGTATGAAAGCCACAAAGAAATCAATGATAGCTTCTTAGTGAATAATCCTTTTAAAGTGAATCATTCCTAGCGTATCTGTCTGTATACAATATGTGCCCACTTGTATTTGAGCCAACCTGTTATTATTAGATACACCACAGTTATAACATAAAAAAGAAAAACAAACATAGCGACTCTTTTTGGATTCTCTTTGTTGCATGGTATAAAATTCAGGATGCTCCCAGAATTTTGCGTGGCAAAATGTGTGCCATTCGCTACTAAAACTAGATTCTGGGAAACCACATGAAAGACTTTTAGAAAGACAACTAACAATGCATACAGATGAAGCAGTTTCTGCAGAGCTTAAAAAACATGTCTTACCTGAGTACTAACGCAGCTTTTGATATGGCGGCAACAAACGTGAACATAAATATTTGTTTTTGATTTAAAAAAAACTCCAATTTTTAAAAAATCGGTTTTGCGCAATGAAGGTGCATCTGTTTCAGCCTAAAAATAACACACTGCGCTGCTTCAACATTCATTATTAATATTGTCAGAAAAGAAAATTATGAACGCTTAAATGGATGATCGCGGATTCTGCAACGTACGTGACTTTTCACTTTTGTCTTAAACGATGTGCCATAAGATAAAGCAGATTCCTACCTGAAAATTAGCGCTCGATTCAAAATAAATGCCTATGAGACCCCGCAATTCTAGAAAATATAAACTAAAAACAATTCTTTTAATGCCAATAAATTTCATCTAATGAGGATATAAGACACATTAATTGATAAATAGTCAACTGTGCAGTTTTACTTTGTCATCACTGAGTCTGTGGCAATTCAGCTAGCAAACAAATACGTAATTTACCAAGAAATAAAACATGAACACTTTCAAGGTTCCCTAAGAACGGAAAAACTTTGTAACTATATTATAGATTAGTTCTAGTTATTCCTCTGGTACCATGGAGATAACTTCAGTAATCACATATTTCAGCATTAAGCAAGCTCGGGCGCACAATTTGAAAAATCTATCGTTGGCAGTTGCCGGGATACATTTTAGCCCACTTCAATTGCACTGAAGTAGAACAGCACTAACATTTCAAGTATCCAGAACTGGTCACGCGGCCTGAGTCAGCGACCCACAACTTTTTCAGTCGGAGATTAGATCGCCCAAACAATTGCGCCGTACATATTATTCGTTTTCCACCAATGAAGCCTGAAGGAAAAGTACATTTTAATACAGCCACATTTGCAGAAGAATTAATACCACAATGGGAGCCAAAAATAACCAAATATATCAGAAAAATGGTCGTCATCCAATAGCAAGCCAATTAAAATTTACCCACTGTCTGCTGACCCAGCATCACTAGCAAAGTGCTATCAAATCCTGTCGATGCATTCGTTAACGAAACATTTCACACAGCAGCTGATCTACCAACATCCAATAATCTTCAAGAGCTTTTTGAAATCTAATAATCTTAATAACATTATACAAACTGAGAACAGGGTACAGCCAGGCTGCCTATACGGTGCCTGCCAAGGGCTTAAGAACCTGTTCAATCAACTTGGTGGAACACATTTGACAGAATTTCGAACGCGTTTCGAGTTTGTCATGAGTAGAGTCGGATAACAACATAATACGAACGACTGTCACCATAGGGAAAGATGTGGATCCGAATGTTTCGCCCCTATCACTAACCAGCAATCGTAGTACCATAGTCATAAAAATACACAAATAGCAAATGAGCCACAACGGGTGTAGCAGCAACTGAAATCCTACGGGAACAATCACATAAGCCGTCTGGCGTCTACAAAAACGCCACCCAACAATAGCAACGAGCAAGTAACATGCCTATTCCAAAACAGATCAAGTTACAGTAAACCCAAAATAATGCAACCGTGAGACATAACTCTGAGCATGAAACGCTGCTTCGAGGGGACAAAAGTTCGTGTAGGAAATTCTGCCCATATTGCCTGCTATCTGTTTAGCACAAATTTACATACTTGGCATCCGCTATTTCAGCCGGTAATTCTCGTTCTGATTTCCAATAGCGGTCCCCGTGATAGAGCAGTAGCAACCTGTTTTGCCTACTAAAGTTATAGATACATGAGGTAATCCAGGTTTGAAACCTTTCGTAGTCGCAGTTTTTTGTGCTGGAAGGCAGCCGTCTGAAGCGGTGTTTAGAGGCAGTAAAGCTGGGAACTTACAAGTTTCTAGTTACAGAATTCTTGAAAGTGAATGTAAAACTAAGCTCGCATGAGTTTGCGGTTGTGTATGGCACTTAATGACCCAAGCAGGTTGGGCTACAACTTTCAAAGCGAGCTTTTTCTTTTGAATTCGTTTGGTACTCCAGATGTTAACATATACTCTTTATCTATCCATAGATACTTCCCGTAGTTTTCTTAATCTTTCTACATCAATGTCATACTTACGTTCTGCGCGCGGTGATCGTAAATGTGTTACGAGGATAAACACGACGTCCACAGCTGATAACACCTTGATATGTTATACTATATTACACTCTTTATATATTCGCTTTTGTTCGAGTCAAGACTGTCCTGTGCTAGCGATAATTAGGGGACAAACATACGCATTCACACACACACGCATACCTCACTAACTGCGCTGACTACCAAACGTTTCTCGGCGAAAAAACGGACCAGTGACATGAATTCCAACTCGAATCAAATTCCAATTCACCATCTGCTTTTGAGAATCACTTGAGCCGACTACACTTGCATAGGGAGTTAACCTCTGATCCAGCACTTAGCGTTTTCTAATTTTTTCGCTGGCTCAAACTTGCCTACACTTGCAGCCAAAAACACTGCTCACCCCCCAAAAGCTTTGGTTTTTGTTTTCTTAAACCAATGGGACAGTCGTTATTTCTATAAGGGTAGCGACAGGCAATGTTTCTGTTTGAGGGATAGACAACTGAACCCGGTTGATTTGCACACCAACCACGGTCGCGGTGCAGCAGCCGGACTGCCACAGGGATAGGGACAACGAAGATAGTCGGAGAAGTCAAGTCGTTCTTCTCTTGAAGTCACTATCTGCGGTAATAGTACTAATACTGATAGTTTTATCTGTAGTTACAACTTCACACGAACGCCAGTCGTTGAATCCGTCAGGGCCAGCCACTTCACTTTTTTTTACTTTCAGTACGATCAGCTGCTTACTTTTGATAGCTGAGACAACACCTAAGGTTATGTGTTGATGTGTACACGGTGACTGGACTTTGGATGTCTGTTGGAGGTTAGTGCTGATGAAGGCACACCACTGGTGAGCAGTAATAGTCGTATACTGATCGAAACACACATATACAGAAAGCCACACTTCATATAGCTAGTTGCTCATTAGTGAGCCACGTACGAGAACCTACTTGACTGACTGCACAAAAGGTAAACAATAAAGGATGAATGCATTCGCCGGTCGAAAGTGCTGCCTGTCTAGGGGCGGGCGGTTGTTACGGGCAGCAAGTTGTCGCAGTAATAACAATCTCAATCAAAACAATGGCTAAGTATACGAGATTTTTTTTCTAAAAAAACACTGTGTAAGGTTGTTAGATGTTTCAAGAACCTCAACGCCTGGATCGACGCGGTACGCTTTTTATTGAAGCTGCAAAATAAGCTGGAAACTTGAAATAGAATACTTGCGATGATTTGTCACAGTATTCTCGATTAATGTGAAAGACTTTAGCGTATTATTTGACCCTGCAATCATTCTTGACTTCAATATATAGCATAGTATTAGCGAATGTATATTTGTTCGTACCTTAGTCTACTGTCTGTATCCAGATCCTGTTCCTGAAAGGAAATTACATGTCAAATAGCACCAAGCCAGCTATAAATCAACCTTTTTATTTCAAAATAATTAGGGCTAGAACAAAGTTCCCATTTATGATGGTATGAACCTTTTTAGCGATACTTTTGAACTTTCTAGAAAACATTAACAACGCCCTGTTGATAGGCTAATGTTCTAATTTTTAATATTTGCTTGATCGGCTGATTTGTATAAAAAAACGTTACCTATGAAAAATCCACCTTGGTTAGCCCTAATAAAAAAACCCTTAAAGGGAGCGAGAAAACGAAATGTCGACACAACAACAACCAGCTGATTTATTATGTTGCTTTTATTCTCTCAACTCTTTTTGTCCATCTTCGCCCAACAATATGCAGTCTCGATACTGGTGCAGGATTTAGCGAAAACACTACTTTCTTCCTATACATCCTATTAGTTTTTTTACTCCTCCACTGTACCTTAGTTTCGTTTATTTCATTTGCATGAACAATATTTTTTAATGGCGGATTTGTATAACTACTATCCACTTATAATCGATATTATGCATTCGCCATCGCTGTTATGATGTATATATACTTACAGTACTTATCCTATCCATAATTTTAGATTACTGTCCGCTTCATAACCTAAAACACATATATTTTTTATTATTTTTAAGTGTTTGTTTTTCCTGTCCCTGCTCTGCATCGCACGTTCGTTGTTTGTAACAAATTTCAGGGTGATTCTTTCTGAGCAAATTTTGAATGTGATCAAAACGACGAAATAACAGACAATCTTTAACGTTTAGGACACAGAAACGAATAATGTTTTCCTAAATCGATAAAAAAGGGGCACACGAGATCGAGCAAGTCGGCTACAAAGATGGTCGATTTGTGAATTTTTCGCCAAAATCTAATCTAAAATGATATCACTATCCAAGCAATGTTTGGACGGATCTAGAAAATCAGGATATGATGTAGACACACATAATTTACCATTTCTCTTAGGTTTACTTAGCATTGCAGGCATAAATTTAAAGAAAGGAAAACCTCTACGTTGCCAACGGGTTATTTAATACACGACTAACATTTTTACACTCGTGCCTCTTACGACACTACCTATGACACTACAGATTAAATATACATAAACAACTGAAAATTGTTTCGTCTTCTAAAAAAGGCACGGGACCTTAATAATGTAACTTAATAATGTATAGAAATATAGTGTCGTAATAAAACCTAGCTTATAAAAAACAGCAGACCGTGTTTGGTCAACGAAATAGGTGTAAGTACAGCGTGGGAAGCACAGCAGCCTGCATCCCTTGTGCGCAAGCTTGTATCACTAAGAAAAATAACACAGCGCAATTTACTGAAATTGAAAGAGGGTCCAGTAAATATCACACCTACCACAATTAAATCTTGTTTCTGATATAATTTTCTAAATCTAATCGAGAACTTTCTCGCACACTCTGTATATTCACCAGTTGAGACTATTATTTCTATTCTTTTTATTATTAACCCGATATTGTTCTAACAAAATTGAAATTGAACAGAACCCTGATGCAGTTTCTACGTATTCAATCAGATAAGCAAAATTTTGTTTTTCTTGCTGCCCACTGGAACTCGCTCGTTCTCGCGGCCCTTAGCCTTGCGCCTGTATTCTGTACAGTAAGTCTGAACCTTCGGTAATTCGTTTTGATATTAATAGTATTGAATTTTACTTTTATTATGATTATATTGTAATAGCATTCCCTCACTCTCTAGACCTGTCTTGCTTGATATTTTATTAAGATCTACTGCTCTTGGCACCAGAAAAGCTGAGTGAAACATCATTGGGGTGTCTTCTATCAGCTGGAAAAACAGTTTCAATAAAATATTTGTGTATACTACGCTACATTATTGTTATTTCTTGTCATGATGCCTCTGCATATATATATATATATATATATATATATATATATATATATATATATATACAAAGATAGTAAAAATTGTTAAGAAACGTGATCCAACCCCTACTTCTATATATATATATATATTCACCGCTTTTCCCGTGGAAACACATTGAAGTTAGAGTACAATTTGGATTACGTTTCGTAGCAATTTTTACCATTTTTGTTGCCTTGCATTAGCAGAAACAATGCTGTCTTTTCAGCTTGCATATTTGCAGCTTGTATATTTTTTCTTCTATATAATATTGAAATGGATTCATCAGTAATGTATATATATGGTTGTCAAAATAAGGCCATCGCTAAATTATCCCTGCTCATTACGCATTCGTAGTTGTTAATAAAGCCGTCATCGTTGATTATGAATTGTCGAGAGTTGATCAATTAATGATTGAGTGCCTGTTTCTTTCTGTATATTATCACACTCGAAAGTCGAGATGTAGTTGACCAAAATAGTCGATGTTACCGGGCTCATATTAGACAAATCTTAAGGCTCAGGCAGGTGCATTGCGGGTGTGATTAAAGGTACTATATATATATATATATATATGTATATATATATATATATATATATATATGGAGAGAGCGAGAGATAAATTGACGGTTATTAATAATAGTGGTGCTAATAATTCAAACCCATTCCGTTATACATTCTATGGTTTTTGTAAGATTTATATTGTATGAAAAAAAAGATAACATGTAGTACTTTGGGCATTCCATAGGGTGCACATCTGTGGTCAAATAGAATTCATGCCGCACTGGCGAGGCGAGCGTTGCACTCCACGGGAAATCGATAGAGTTATTTCAAATAACATCGAGGGTTTTTGAACTGCATATTTTTGTAGCCAGTTAATTACATTAGACAAGTGAAATGAGAATAATAGAAAAAAGTTCGTTTTTTTTTTCACTCAGACAATCTGATAGGCAAACTCAACTTAGACCAATTTGGCGACTTACTCTAGACATACGTATCCGCCTTAGGCCCGTGAAAACAGTGTGAGGGAATTAAGTGGAGGAAAGATAACTCTACATAGCACAGCATCTTCTTGGTAGACAAAAAATCCATAGATTGCCTGGTAATCCGCCACCGCTCGACCGATGCTTTTTCTCATTGCTAACCAGATATTCATCTACATCTAATAGTTAACCCAGCTTATGCTCGAACGTTTTTTTAAACTCATTACCCGTCTTTCCTTCCAAATAATTTGTAGAATTTAATTTCTGACGAAACTACTAGCAGACAACACGCGCGATTTCAATTATTTGATTTCATACCACAGCTGTCGTGTTGGATCTACACATTTTATGATGTATCTCTACATGACATTCAATGTTTAGCGCTACAATATTGTATATTGTACGTAAGAACCAGTTATATTATTATGTTATATATGCATTGTTTCTAATGATGGCTCTATGCTGGTCTGGAAATCGGGCCCGTTTTCGATCCACGTATGCCTAATTTAATTTCGCTCGGTTTCCGACTTACTCTGGAGATGACTCGGGAACAAAGTCAATATGCAGGCCACAGTTCACGGCTAAGATTCTGATCTACACTTATCTTTAAAACAAGCCAGGCGGTCGATTCCGTCTGCGTACGTCGTTGAGACGCCTGGCTGAAGGCCGCTTCGAACTCGGCGTGAGAGACGGATTTATTTGTTATATTGTTCTGTTTCTTTGTATATGTGTATACTAAGATTCGTTTCTTTTACTTTTACAGATATTCCGTTGTTTCATTTCTATCTATAACTGCAGTCGGTTATGTAGTTTTTATAGAATATAATAGCCAACTTGAATTTATTATTATGCGTTTTCCTCCTAAAGTGAGGAAAGATCGCCTTTAAATATGTGTAGGATGATGTCAACTTTATTTTTTAATAGTAAGTGTTACCCGGCATTGCTCTTATATCAGTACAACTGTCCTCGGCCAGTCTGTCGGTAAGCGATTCAGTGTCGACCTGGTGGGTATACGACCACATCTATTTGTTTCTGCTAGATTATCACCACAACAATAATGATAATAGTTACTCGTCGTTATTTTAATAAAATAGCAATAATAATCATTCTTATATTATCATTATTATCCACTAGTATTTTTTGTACACTTTGTTTCTAAGTATCATCTATCCGGCCTTCTTCTTATTAGTTGTCTATTATTGTTATATGCTTTGAAGCACTCTCACACTTGTGCACAGCGCAATGTCTTTTTTTGCGCTTCTCCTATACACTACTTAAGCCATCGTCAACTGTATGATGACTTTCCATGTACCTTTATGAAAACAGTAAGAACAGCCATGACCTTCCAAAACCATCGTCTAGGTTGTGTTTTTGCTTAGCGAAAATCAAAACCTCTCAAAAGCTTGTCTCTTTTTTCAGCACTGCGGTCACTTTCTGTTACTCATCGAGGAAGATCTCCCACAAATAGCGCTAATACATCGTGTTCACTTTTCTTTGTACGCCAGTGGCTATTTGCTAGCACTCCAAATTGCCGTATGTTATTTCGTCACGAGTATTAACCGTTGCGTTCTCTTGTTTATTAGAGACGAGCAAAGATCTTCGACCGCACGCCCCTAGCACCTTCCCCGTTAAGATCTAGCGGACAATGATATCGCAATGATCATTTACTACAATCAATAGTAGACCGTACAGCATAGGCACCAAAAAAGAACTCATCTGGACTTAGCATCCTTTTTAGTAGTACTAGTGTACCGTTATGTTTTAGTATTATTGTTTTTTTATATAGATATATTTTTGTTGTTTTTAATACGCTATACGGAGACGCTGAAAACCTGAGACGGGCGTTGAGATGTCAAAGCACCGGGATGTGTGCTACGTTTCTATACTTAACAGATAAAAGTCTAGGCATGCTCAGCCAATAAGCTCGCAACAAACGCAGCATCCATTTCGATTAGCATTTACAATAATAATGGTAATATTATTAGAACACCGAATAAAAAAGCAAAACCACCACGGGATCGTCCAAATTTCATTTACTCGACATCGTACCAACAGCTTCAATATGCCGTATTGCTTGGAATTATTATGATTACAGTAGTAATAATTATTAAGATCTCACACGTCATCCTTTTCTGGTATTATTTGTTTCTCTCTTATAGAAGTATACGCGTAGTAATAACATTACCAGTAACCACAGTCGCTCTTATGACAGCCATTTTTCTATCTGTATTTAAAGAGAATATACAATTCAACGAAAAACATGCATTAGCTACTATACAACAGCGGCCATCAGTTTAGTTAGTAATAATGGCGTTACTGCCATGAATAATCGTCAGCATCGTTCCCAGCGAATCGCCTTGATGATTTTTCTTTTTTGTAAGCCAGTGATAATCAAGTGATCCCTGGCGTACTGGGTTGACAATAGACATGGCAGAATGCTCTGCGATAATGCGAAGACCATCATAACGTCGCAAGCTTAAGTTTTCACACTTAAGACTTGAAGATCGCCCACCATAAGACGACAGTCTAACTGCCCGTGGTACTGGTACCGCCCGCTGTTGTCGTGGTCGTCGCGGCTACTTTTGAAATTGGCGCCGCTTCCGTCATAGTGTGCCCTGTCGACGAAGATGACAGCGATTGAAGACCTGCGAGAGGAGACCTTGAAGCTGGTAGGCCGCCAGCGGCCCCGCCAGCTGTAATATTAAGCGGAATGTTCTCGTAGAGAGTAGATGCGGGCATTGATGGAGGTGGAAGAAGCGGTTTATGCCCCACTCCGCCACCTAATAAACAACCGGAACCTGCTAGGGTTCCAGCTCCAACCATGGGGTTCACTGACGTTGAAGACTTTGCTGGCGCCGGTTTAGGCGGAAATGACTGCGTGTCGTAGAGAGGGTTCGTGCGTGGGTTCGATACCACCGTATCAAAAGCTGGCGGTGGGACACCGGGCGATGGTGGTGGATACAAGGGGTACAGGGGGTAAATTGGCAACGGCGACAGCGGCGGCGGCATGCCCATCGACCCCAGTGCTGTCGTACCCCCAACAAACGCGGCTGCCACAGGACCCACAGACCCCGCACCGGTAATTCCGCCGACAGGCGGGATTGGGCCGGCATACTTGATGTTGCTGTAGTCCCTGCCCAGCAGGGCGTATTTGTGCTCGGCTGCGAGACGCTGTTGTTGCGTGTCAACGAAATGCTGGACGGCTAGATAGACGAATTTGTACTGTGCTTCCGTCTGTACCATTCCCGAGCGCTGGCGACGAAGCATTCGAATCGTCCGCAGGATATCAATATCCACAGCAAGACCTCGACGTTTCACCTCGTCGACGATTAGATCTATCACAATGAACGTGCCTGTTCGGCCGATACCGGCACTACAGTGCACCACGATTGGACCCGCGCCATTTGTCAAGCTCAAAGATGAGTTGTTCGATGACGAGTTTGTTGACATTGGCACAATAGGTGTAGGCTCGGAGGCGGTAATGGCAGATTCGATGCCGTTCATTGAAGCATTTGCTTCTTCTTGTTTAGCGTTGACCTAAAGAAAAATGAATAGGTAATGGTATAGAAGCAATTAAAAAAGATGTAGTCCAAAAACGGAAGTTTACCATGGCCAACGTTATTGTGTCTTTTGAAGGTGAAAGTGCTTTTGACAGAAAAACCTGTCACTCCAGATTACTGTGGTATATTCATCAAGCAAATTAGGCAGGATATGAATAAATTAATATTACAAGGAAGCAATAGTGTTATAATGTTATTTAATTATTGAATAAAGACATATATTTTAAAACTAATGATAAAAATCTCACTAGCCTTTACATATGGTAAATATACTATTATTGGTTTGCCTTAGCTCCAGTAACTTTTCACCTTTATCTACAGTCACCGGCTAACCACATGAGGTCACCTAGAAACTAGCACATTGTCGAGATTGATGTCCGCATCCAACCTAAGCACCTGTGTACGTTTTTATATGCGAGTGTTTTCTTCGCTCCTTTTTTTACGACACTGTCGCACTTTTAAAATTGCTGTAGAAACAAAGGAGTTTACTGAAACCAACATTTGGTCCCCTATTCCCAACCGCGATCTTGCAACTCGCTTTTGCATTAGAAATTAAAATTAGAAGTTAAGATTGTAAAATTTAGACCGCAGTCTTCTGCACTACGAAACATACATGCTATATGTTACGTATATACCAACCTGTTCTAGGAAGTTAAGGACGCATCCCGGGTCGGAGGGAACGCCATGGTCAGGCCAGGCCGTAAAGTGAAAATGGTAGATTCGACGACGCTCCCCGCTCGCTACCTCGGTTAGCTCTAGCTCTCGTAACGTGTAGTCGCCAGTAGACGTTTCGGCTGCAGTCTCTACGCTGAAGAGGAAAACGCAAGTTCTTATTACGATGAAAATCGCGACAAAAGCTCGTTGAGTAAAAGGCTTACGATGCAATTATTAGGTCAAACTGCGAAGCATGCATATGCAGACTGCGATAACATTTGGTTATTCATGCCGATGTTGGTGTATACCTATGAAATATTATTGACATCTATCCTGAGCTACACCAACCTGTAGCTGCCGTAGTCGACAGGTTCACGTTTTTTTTCTGGCCAATATCGAACACATTTCGATTTTCCACGTTCAGTCTCCTTGGTCGTCATCACCACTACGCGGCAGTTTTCCTATGCGGAAAAAAAGCAAACGTAAGTAACGCCTGGAAAAATCTGTAGGTTCCTTAAGGGAAAATCTATGGTCCGGTACTTATGATTGCGCACAAGTTTTAGCTGACGACTGACGAGGGGCATTTGGTTTCAAAAAATACCCCGGCGTAGCGTGTCACAGCCAAAAACATCTTGAAAAAACTTGGCACCTAAATAAATAAACCTATAGAAATCTCCATTAATAAGATCAAAGGTTTTCCTCGGTTACATTCTAAACAATTACCTCTTAGGCTGTATGCAATTTTTGTTGAAAATCTGGAAATGAGGTAAGCAAACAAAGCAAAAATCTTCACCACTTACCTGCCACACCATTTGCCAAAAATCTTCAATCGTGTTAGCTAAAGGGCCTTGAGTTGCAATATAAACCTTGCACGCTGTTGGATCAGTATCAAATAATCTGCAGTAGACAAACCGATCGGCAAATTCAGGTAGCGGCAGTCAGTCAGTGAGAACCGAACGTGTTTAGATAAACACGTTTATAGCTACTCACGTACGTTTCTCCATTTTATAGTAAAAACAATTTATTGAAAAGAGCTGGTGAAAGGCGATTATATATATGACGTAAATTTACAAGACACAATCATTTTTGGATTAATAAGTATGAAACGCTAATCATTAGAAAGCTGATTATTACGGCCTTGCAAAACAGAAGTTCGGAAGTCCAAGAAACAGAAGTTATTATTGTTCATAGTCGTAATAGTAATTTTCGTTGTTAATAGTCAGGTTTGTTTTCGTAATCTGCTTTACTCACCCCTGTTCATCGACTCGAATGTAATTGGCATTGATGTAACCGTTTGGCTGTCCTGGCCTTTTGAGTATAACCCGAGTATCGTCAAACGGTAGAATGTTTTTATATCGATTGCGAGATCGGTTTTCCGGCTTTTGACCTTCTTTTCGACTGGATGATTCGTTGAACACAAAATTGAAATGAGAACAAAAGAAGCTATGGACAACGATAATCGTGCGAACGTCATAGCATATTCAATAGACAAAGGGCCCATACTTGGAGACCTTAGCTCGGTTGCTCAGAACACTAAATGCCTCAGTTATATAAAAATAGACTGCTTTAATATTGAAATTTCTAATCGTTACTACGTATCTATATTTTGTTCGAAGCCACGTTGTTATTTCAATATCACCTGATACGTATAAAAAGCTAAAATGATCATTATTATTATCACTATTATTCTACCTGTACAAATGTTTGCACTCTTGTTGTTGAATTTGTTCAAACTCCTCCCAAAAACCTGCTTTACAATTGCCGCCCCCTCCTGTATTTTCTCGCGATAACTGTTTTACGCGTTCGTCAATGGTTGACGCCTATTTTGGGGACGGAAAATAAAAAACGACGCTTAGTGCTTTGTGTTTGATCTTAGTGCGAGACGCACGTTTCCTCTTGCCATCTTTTTCAATTAAAGCAGCCTTATGGCAGCCCAAAATATATTTTACTCTTTCCGATAGTTAAGTTTCAAAATATAATAAAATGTATATGTAACTTATCTATAGCACTAGAACACATTTTGAGCTATCATAAGGTTGCTTTAACATATATGTACATATATTATAAACGACTTCTCATTTAGTAAACTTACATGATATAAAGATATTATCTTGCCCACTAAAGTGAAATCTAAATTCATACTTTCCTAACTTATTACCTGTATTCTCGTCGCATTAAGAGGCTGTTTGAGGTGCACAACCGTTCCGGACGTTTCAACCATAGGATTCTTGCGGTAGAAATCGACCAGCTCCGAAAGTGAACTAAATTTTTCCCCTCCTCCAGCATCATAAGCACCGTTCTGAAAGAGTCAATGATACAAATTACATGAATGGTTTGAATAAATTGAGTAAATTAATTGATTACAGGAGACTTGTACGTAATACAGAGCCCCACACAACAATCCAGAAGCGGTCAGCGTCTTTTCTATGAAGTAGATTTCTACGTTCACGACTTGAATAAATATCTTCACACATTTAATAGAAGATAAACGCATAACCTCAGTAACAACACAGGGTGATGCTTACGAGACAGCGCACAATGAAGTGCGTGACTTTGTCCTCAGTTCGCACACTAAGGACATAGTCTCCAGGTTTCGACTGTGATTCTCGGACAAGGAAGCCGCCGTTTCGAGCTTTGTCAAGTAAGAGGCGTTCGGCATCACGACCTAATAACGGCCCATGAAACCATCGTTCGGTTGTCGGATCTGCGCAGATCAAAGGATAACGCAGTTCTGCAATTGAAATCCAGTAAAAACAGAATAGTCTGATAAGTACCAAAGAAATAACAAATGTCTGCTAAGGATGTGCAGCACTAATTTTCCACGCAACAAGCTCACACTGTTAGTTTACGCTGTGGTGTAAATATCGACCGCAAGTCTGGATACGGTTACCTCCAGGCGCCCAACATCAATTCACTTGCACTTCAAAATGGCCCAGCGATTTTATGACGTATAGCGTAGACATTACTGACGATGATTTGATGAAGGGGTGTCGCGAACGCAGCACGCAGATAAACGACGTATTCAGCATAAACAGGTACTACTGGCGTGAGTGAAGAGTGCTAAATCATACAAACCAATGACCTCTCCGTTGCGCTCTTTGAGATGGTCTTGATTTTCCATGTAGTACTGGACAAGTTCGGCAAGTGTCGCAAAATTTTCCCCTCCATACAAATCGTAATAGTCACCAGAGTTCCTAGGGACACGAGCAAAAATAAGGAAATGAGTCGGGGTGCACCTTCAAACAATTTCCTGACAATATTTGTAATGCATACATTGGCTATCCTAGCTTTTTACGTACTTTATCGTACCATGCTCGATACACGCGTGTGACCTGTAAGAACTAAGAGATAGTGAGCTTCCTATAACTTTCTAGGCTGTTTGAAATCGAGTCTCATCGATACATATTAGGCACCGACTCAGAGCCCAACGGGAAGCAATGCACTCTATTCAGATCCAGGTGAACACTAGACCTAGCGAATTAGATCATTCAATAATCGGTGATACAACCGCTTCATTGTAACAAAAACAAAAAAACATCGATGCCTCTTTACAAATTTCAAAATTTTAGAAGACTTCCAAAATACGCAGGTCACATCCTGAAAAATCAACAAGGCCGAACCTGATTTTTATGTGTGTCACTTTGCCGTTTCGGCGAACAGAAAGGGTGAAATCGCCTTCTTTCGACTTTGACGGTCGCGCCAGAAACGAGCCGTCCATCCCTGAAACACAAAAAAAAAAACACGTATTGAGCTGCGTCTATTTGTTAGTAAGTTTGTAGTAAATCAATGTTATCAAAAAAAATAGAGCATTAAAAAAATTGTAACAGTAATAATACCGGTCATTGACAACTTACCCTGTTCGAGAAGAATCCGTTCGGCATCGAACCCCGAGATATTCGGATGGAACCAGCGGCCATGACTGAAATACACAAAATACGACAATGAATGTAATAATTTGCACGTATCAATCTACTCGATAGATAAATATCGTCGTGTAATCAGTCGTCTATATATGGGATATTCGCTATTAAATAAATCCACACACGGTCTACATGTTTGAACTACAACTATTTAGATCACTTGGTTATCATCGAACGTTTTCGGAGTGGTCCAGTGGTAACGTGATCGCATGCGATTCAGGCTCAAGGTGGCGTGCTACCCAAACGAAAAATGTTTAACATAGGTTTGCCTAAGTTAGGTTAGTGTTTATCCAACGTAAAGGTTATATATTACAAAGAATTGTCAAGTTTGCACTGCTCAAGTTTTCTATTTCACATGTAAAGCCACATGACCTTACAAAATTAAGATGGATGTGGGATAAAGGTTAAAGACAGGGTACTCGCATCGTGGACCAGAAGATAATCTTATTAAGCATAAACTTTTTTAAATGCGGGAACTTCCTTTCCAACGTATATATATATATTCAACTTTTAAGTTGAACGTATCAATTAGACACCACACGTTTAGAACCTCTGAAACGATAATCATACAATTTAAAGATAATTCATAGAGCTGTAGAGAAAGATCTAGAACAGAAAAGTTTGCTAGTCTCGTGATTGAACAGCTACTAGTGAGATCTATTCACTTATTTGAAGGAGTCTCGACCAATGGGACAGGGTCCTCATTACTATTATGCTGACGTTTTTTTTATTCAGTCAATTATCAACTGAGCATGCTCCCATATCTTACTAAGCAAAAAGGTCGTCCACTACCGACATAGTAGGCTCAGAAAAGGGTGCCAGCAGTTTGAAACAGCTTGGTGAAATGACCTTCCAAAACAGAAGGTGCCCTTACACCCTGCGCTACGTTAGCAGTTAGTCATCCCATTTAGATATATGCATTTTCCGACAAACTATTAGTAACGCACTAATCGAACAGCAGTAAATAGCATGGAATACCGACAAGGGAGACTCAGTTTCCGTCCCGAAACCTAGTGGCATAAAATTCTCTTTGTTGGATATAGTCTATGCGGTTTTAAACGGACTTGGATGTGAGGCGGTGGTGACGGAGCTGTTGGTGTGGTTGGCGTAAGAATCATTAATTTTTTTGTGATGACCTTTATTGAAACGCATCATTTTATATTAACCGAAACATAGATCCACGCAAATAGATACTTTTTTTTTTAACCATCATATCAAAAACGAAATGCAAGCAATTTCGTTAAATTAGCCAAAACTCTGGACTAATTGACGATGATATTTTCCGAGCCAAAAATGTATGCCTGCGAACTGATAGGAGTATAGAAATCTCATTTGTTCTATTTATAAAGCAAGAAGGATCGATTGCGTCTGGATACCTCGAACTTTCAGAAACTGAGCCAATGGCTGATTCGCAATCGGTGCTGCTAATGACAGCGTTGCGCCCACTGACTCAACAATTAGCTTTGTTGTACCTCGTATTTCATTATGTTATGAATGAGTTCCACAGCTGCTGACTATCGATTATTTACAAAGCTAGGTACAAGCCTTCTCACAAACAAAGAGTAATAATAAATTTCACTTAATAGATCCGGCTATAGCGAAACAAGTTCTCATTGGGGTGAGTGCCTGAAATATCGCGCTTAGGGTATTCCTTGTGGTACATTCTCCTCAAGAGAAGACTACATGGTATATGAGCACCATTCTTGATCAAACATGTTGGTTCAGCGTTGTCGATACACATAAAGCCTAGCCTTCAAGTAAAATCAAGCGTCGTCCTGTATGATACAACTATCCGCAATTAAATACTAGACGTTCATGCTGAGTGAAATTTTTGAGGGAAAACTGCAGTTGCGAAAAAATTTGATTATTATGAAGTCATCTTATCACCCTTCCATGTCGATCGATGTCGCATCCACGGTAGCATCTGTCGATGTTAGATAAAGATAGTACATGAATCACAGACAGAGCGTACAAAATCAAAGTCCTACCTTAAAAAAGAAAACATTTTTATTCCGAAAATTAGCTGATAAAGCTATCTCGCTTTTGTCTTCAGTCATCTATATATATATATATATATATATATATATATATATATATATATATATATATATATATATAGTTGACTGAAGATACGATAGAGAAATAGTGAAAAAGACAAGCAAAGAGGATAAAATTGGATTTATATGAGCCCTGAACCATGAGTAGAAGTTCAGAGCAAATAATCAGTTTGATAGTATATCGCAAGTGAAATTTGATATACATTATTGTAAGAACACCTTAGATGATAAAGGTCAAGGCCGGTGATCGATTTTCAAACGATAAGTTCATTTATAAAAATGGAAATTGATAGTTGGCCTTGCCAACGCATCAAATACTAGTTGACCTTTGTTTCAGAGAAATAATATTAGGTGCAATCCATTTGATGCAGTCACCTAAGGACATAATAATTGCTTTTTATTGGATTTTATTTAGTGTATATTTACAAGAAACAAGTCGACCATTGACCACATATAATATATTATTTCGCTTATAAACACAAACCAATAGAGATATAAGAATGATCGTATCGCCTATCGAACATATAGGCTAACCACACGTTAGAAAAACAATATATTACTTATATAAAAGTGGTCGAAAAGAAAAAAATCCAAATCTCTCTTTTTAGATTGTTTTTGCTTCGTTTCCTGAATTGAGAATTCCCGGCGTATATGAACCGAGAGTGTAGCATATAATTACCGTAAACATGGGACGCATATTAAAAGAACACTTGTTAATTACTCATATACCCTTTAACTATCAATAGTATCATAAATTAAAAAAAGCGACCAATTCACAACTGGAATTGCCCAATAAGTGAGTTCCGAACAATGCTCACAATTTTCACTAGAATCTTTCAAATCCTACCCTAGTTTAATAGCGCTCTAGTTATTATTACTCTCGCTTATTGTTACGAATATATTTTCATCACCATCAAGTAGTTCACCCGTTTGCATACTGTTATTGAGTGTCGTCTGCTTAGTCCCCTCAGGATTATCTTCTTCATGGAAAAATTCCATGCCACTACTTTTACGAAACAGCAAAACCAACGTGATGAACACCATGAGCAAAAGACCTATGGATCCGCCGAACCACAACAGCCATAAGGATGGATCGCTTCGTGGGCGAAGCGTCACGATAGGCGACAATCGGCAAACCCGTTCACTGAAAGTGGAAGCCCCGTTTGAAGTCGAGGCAAAAACAGCTGCACCTATTGCGCGATCATCGACTTCTAGTGGTGGTGGTGACGTCGATGTAGGCGGGACCTCGCTGTCGTCCCAGCCGCGGTCAGTAACAGCCCCTTTTGCTGTGGGACTAAATATCGCTGTGCTAGCTGACGTGAGGTTCACTGCGGTGCCCCCCAGCGCCCTTTCAGAAGTTAGCTGAACTAACCGCACAGAGTAGGTGTGATCTAGTAAAAGTTGAACGCTTGTGTTGCTACGTAGCCACTGCGGCGAAGTTAGCGTTTGCTCTCCGACATCGCTGTTTTCGTTGGCATCAATATCGTAGTCGACGCCCCTGTGCTGATTCTTGTTCTTAACGTTCTTTTCCGCCGAATGCTGGTGGTAGAAAAGTTCAGTATTGGGAGGCGGCTCTAGAAGGCGCGCGACGCCGTTCCTCAATTCTAGCACAGGTGAAACCGGCATCTCCTCGAAGACGACGCTCGGATAGAAGCATACCTCGCCGCCGGAACTTTCCCACGTTCGGTTACACCATCCGGTTGATGGATAAGCGGAGCAGCGGTGCTCGCCGTAATTGCTGCTAGGAGCAGCAGCTGAACTAATGTTCATAGTATTATTCGTAGAAAAATCTGGCCTAAACCAGGCGCGCAAGTGCACACAATATAGCCTCTGATCGTCGAGCTGGTTTAGCAAGTGTTGTTCCTGTTTTAGCTGAACTAAGACCTCGCTTTCGGGTAAAGTTGGCATCGATTGGCCGCTTTGCGCAACGATTTTATCATAAATATTATATTCGTGGATGTTACTGTCGTAGCTGAATTGGCGTATCACAAGAGCTCCACTGAACGCTCCGTCAGCGCAGCCCTCCTCGTCGGCTTTCCACGCCCAACGAAGGCGGACCGATGTTGAGCTTACATGTTCGACGCTAAGATTTGACATTGAAACAGCACAATCATAAACAAATTGTTCGAGACTGGACTCTGCATACTCATTAACGCTCTGTATCGTAAATTCAGTAGTACCGATTTCCGAAATTTGCTCGATTATGTAGCTGAACAAAGGTTCGCTTACAGTAAATGAGGTAGCTTTCCCATCCTTCTTTTGCACAGAGACACTATAGTAGAACTGGGCTCCGTTGCGCTCATGTGGCTGTAGCGGGTTCCAGTTAACGTGAACCAGATTGCCATTTCTTGTTATCCTAATCCCATCAGGGCTTCGTAGAGGCGGATATCCGGTTGAAGCTTTGCAGAGTTCCGTGTGAGTTGAAGAATTCGATCCCGCGCGGTTGTGTGCTATGACTCTAAACGTATAGCTCTCCCTAACTTTTGGCAGCTCAGCTTTAAACTGTAGCATCTTATCGCCGTTATCTGCGTTTGCTTCGACAGAGCCGATCGACTGCCAACTTCTATTCCTCTGTGGCCTGCGCTGAATTTCGTACCACAAAACAGATTCTTCTTGTGCTTTCGATACCCAGCCTAATTTAACTTCGCCCGATCTACACTGCTCATTAAGTTTTGGCACAGACGGCCGTTTCAGGACTCGTAACTCAGCTTCCCATAAATCCGCTCCCAATTTGGTTCCGTTATTCAGTTCACATGAGTATGTTCCCTGTTTCAGGGGTTCTTCGATGTCGTATGTTTCACCTTCGTGAACAAACGTACCATTGACCTTCCACCGGATCTTATTACCAGAGGGATGACGACCCCTCACCACACATCTGAGTTTTAAATGATCCCCTTCTAGTGCTTCGAGTGGTTTAGGTGGCATTTTTTCAAGCTTAGCTGGAAGTACATCTAAAGTAACGTCAAATTCAGCACATACGTCTCCACAGGCATGACAAGTATACACTCCGTTATCCACATGACGAACATTTATGAGCTCGAGGGTGTGATTAAGATTATCCACCTTCAACTGAGATCCGTTATGGGACCACCTCAGGTTAGGCTGTGGATGACCGCGAGCCGTGCACGGAATAGTTACGTTATCTCCTTCCACTGCAATAAAACATCGGTGTTCAGCTATGATTTGAGGCATGGCACTGTACACCATAACTTGTACCTCCCGATAGATGGTGCCATGGACGTTAGTTGCTACACAACGCAAAACTCCTTGGTGGCGTAAATGAGCCTTGTCTACAGCAATTCGATTTTTCTTTTCAATCCTCATCCCAGACGGGAGGACATCTTCTCCATTGAAGCTCCATTCAATTTTAGGCGCTGGAATACCTGTCGCTTCACAATCGACAGAGAATGTGTCACCCTCATTAACATCCTCTCTTTTCGGTAGGTAAATAATTGTAGGTGCTGCCTTAATCGAAAGAATAATACTGCTCGTAAGACCATTACTGGAACAGGTGAGATGGAAACGTGTCCTTCCCGTTGTGGCCACTGCAGACGAGTCGATTCGAAGTGGCATCGAGCTGTTACCGTGAACAGCTGCTTTCAGAGCACTATCAATATCCCATCGTGGAGCTAGCCAGTCTGGACCAGAGGTCACGCAGAACAGCTCAGCATTTTCGCCCTTTTTCATAACAACCTGTTTGTTGAGGTAAAGCCAACGAGGTTTTGCAGCGCATTCGACGGGCCGTGGGCGAATCTCCAGCGTAACTATTTGAAATACTTTTTTTGTCTCAAGCTGACTAACGACGCAATGCCATACGGATCCGTTATCCTTTTCGACGCTGACAAACGGTATGTGTAAGGTTCCTGTAGGATCCACGACAGAGCAAGGTTTTTCACACGGTTTCCCCGACACTAATTGCCAATGCACTTTCGGCGCTGGGATTCCATCGGGAGTCGGACAATGGAGTGACACAAATTGGCCAGCGAAAAGCGTAAATCGCAAGCGTTTCGGTGCCCCGTCCGGAATTTTTGTGTGCGTCACGTTCCGTACGTGCAGTACATTCGAGCGCGAGACGCCAATTTTGTTCCTAGCTTCACACACGAACTCTCCAATGTGAGAACTTTTTAATGGTGTAAAAGCGAGTTCCATACCATCGCTAAATTTTTTGCGTACGGTGGGGCTCGAGCTGTCCGTGAACCACCAACTTATTTCCGTGTCCTCATCATTAGCGGTCATTTGCTCAACGGGACACCGTATGATCTCATGACGGGGGCGAGCCGAAGAGTCATAGAAGATTACCTGCTCGACTTGGCGATGTATCCTAGGTGGATGTGGAATTATCTGTGAGGTTCCGTCAATTAAACAGGTTTCCGCAGGCACAGCGGTCGGTAATAGTGAAAAAACTTGCGCAAAAATGCATACAAGCAGATTCACGCCAAACCATCTGCCATCACTGCTAGGATGCAACGACATCGTTTCCTTCCAATTACGTGAACTACTTTTCAAAAGCAGACCTAGATTAAGCAAGGACCCACCGACCCAATGTCGAGGGTACATTCAGTTAATTACAACTGATTGAACAACACCATATCAACATACTAGATGGAGCTGAGACAGGAAGACAATAATACCAGCACGCAGCATGGCGGCGAGATTGGCATCCTCCTACACAACGCGGATCGTTATCACATCATGTGTCGGATATCGAGAACGTGTACGATCAAAACAACGTCTACAAGCTTGGTGAGCCGGTAGCGTTTGCTCTAGCTCTCATGTTTCGTAAATGCTGTTATCGTTAGCGATCTTGACACTGCTAGCAGAACTGCACGGGAGACACAAGAAATTGAGAAAGCAAACGCTGTCATTGATGTGTCAGACTCAAAAACGAACCTTAAGTTCGACCACGTGATCATAGCCTGTCTCGCGCTACCGCTACGAATCTAGTCCGTAGTGCCGAACTGGATATAAATGTACATATGTATCAAACGATAAAAAGCGAATATATGCATGCACATATTCGCTTTTTGTCGTTTGATTAGCTACATTTGTCTTGGAGATGGAACGTGCCTCGTTACATCCCGTCGGGCATAGCGGGATCCATTAGCGAATCACTCATTGCCTGTACCATTATAATGATTCGCATGTCAAATAATTTGATACACAGAAAAGTACCGTCATAACCACGAAGCAAATATACTTACCCAAAATTCGAAAGAGTGTCGTGCTTCGGTTTGAACAATTCGTTTTTTCGTTAAACCAATATAAAGTGAATGGTTTACTGAATAAATTCTAGACAAATCGCCGGATCGAAGCTGTAGCCAATACATTTCAGTATTTAAAAGACCGTGTCAGCTCCACGCAGCTTTCACATACGTATGCTTTGTATTGTCCATAGAAAACGTACGCACGTAAAACACACTGATTCGGGCACCTTGGTAAATATAGTACTACCAGGGCAGAGCAGCAGTGTTTACAAAATTTCGAAATTCTATTATAGAAAGGGTACACTGGCAGAGTCGTTAAAAAAACCAGTAATACGCATACATAAGGCTTATTATAAATTACTGTTTGGACCATTATTCGGTACACTTCCTTACAGATCGGCTTTCAACTGTTACTTCTAGCATGAAAATCATAAACTGAATACTAGATAAAAAATTGTTACCTTGTATTGTGTAACAGTTTTTTTAAGATACTAGATTGAAGGAAGTCATTGAGGAAGAGCTTTTAAGAATAAGTTATAGCTATAACTGAACTATTTAGAACTTCAGTTCTTTCAGTTAATCGAAAGGTAGTTTCTTCGTATTGATTATCATATTGATAAGCTTTATAAACGAATCGGCTTCTAGCTGAAACAGTAAATCAGCACAGTAATCCTCTACTGGTTAGGAATTGATGAACATGGATAACATTGTACGTATTAGAGCGATCAGTGACCATGAACCTTTCAATTATTATTTTCCCTTTAGGCGAAGTGGGTAAGCTCTCAGTCATCACAGTCGGAACGCACATTGTAGTTTTCAACGAATGAAGGTCCGGGAAGATCTGGCTTGCATTGACAACAACACTTCTGTGCAACAAATCGGTCGCCAATTTTTCCCACAGATTCAATCGCTTAAACTCGAGACACAGTTCAGCTGCTTTCCCAGGTTAGGCAAATGTAGTACCCATTCCATGTTCTGCTTACTCGATGTCGTCACCTTGTCAAAACGCATATTTTCAAGTTTTACAAGTTCTCAAACGACCTGAATAAGGTTGTCTATAGTAGTGGGCCGTACAGTTCAAACAAATAAAACTGTTTAGTCCGCAACTGGGTCAAAAAAATCGATTACACGCCTGGCTTTTGTCGACTGACCGCCGGCCTATGATCTGGCCTATGGCGCCACACTTACCTGTCCGTCTTCCTTGGACTCACCATATTTCGGAGCATTTGAACGTGTCTTGTAGCTTGCAAGGGCTTTGAAGCGTATCAAGTTCGGTTGTGTTCCGTTTTTTAAAAACAAAAATCGTTTATGAAATAGCGTGCATTATCTTCTTCCTTAAAAATGAAATCATACTTTCAGAGGTAGCATCAGTGTTGTGGAAGACTTTTTGAAAGCAAGCTATTAGCTAAGACAGTCTCCGTGATAGCGCAGCGAATACCGAGTTCGTCTGCTGAGCTTGGAGACACGTGGTAGTATATGTTTAAATCCGGACATCATTTCGTGCTGGCAGGAACTAACTATCTGAAGTAATACTTAGCGGCTTAAGTACTGGGTGTGAAATACGAAAAACATTTTTATGCGCCGATAGCGAGTGCATCAGTAATATCAATGGTTTGGCGACGAACGAGAAACAATTTTCGTTTTAAGCATACCTGCTTCAAGCTCTAGTCCGTACAACAGTACGGCAATGCCATTCACGCTGAAAAATCACCAAAGCACATTCACAGAGCTTATAGCCACTAAGGAAGACGTTTCAAACGAATCACGTTGATTCATTGTGAAAGATCATTTGGAAGGGGTTTACAGCAAGGACTGTGCCAAGCAGCCAAAATTTCGAGCAAATGCAGGTGCATCAAAAACTGTCTTAGCACCACCTTAGCGCACTGAAATCAGAGTCGCAAACAATTTTGTTCGAAATTTGTTTCATTGTATTATAGTAGGCATAAGTATAACATGGGCATAAAAACGCAATAGTCTAAGCAAAATCACTTCAAAAGCGGGCTCAGCCTTAGCAAAGGTGTAAGATTAAAGTAAACAATTAAGAATTATAAACTATAGTTTTCGTTCTGTTTCGCATAGTTTTCACTTTATATCAGTATGAAATGTTGGTTTCTGCCAATATAGACCTAATCTCTAGCAGAAAACCCATCTCCACTTGGATCGCGTTTTTTGCAATTCACATCGATCCTCATGTTGCCTCTACTAACGAATTCATCAGATCTAGTTCCTGTGACTTTTACCCTCCAATAAAAAGATACCTGGGCTAAGCTAGGCCTTATAGTGGTCAAGGACATTTAAAAGCTAATAGATTGCAAAGCTGGTTCTTACTTTAACGACTAGAAAAAACAGACACTACTTTGTAGGAGACACATTGGATTTGAGCGATAAGGCATAGAGAGACTAAGGTAAAAATTATTAATTGAATAAAAAATGAAGGCCAACACGTTGTGATACTGGCATTCATTTATTTATATACAAAGGACTTTTGGCTTATTTTGTTAAACAATCATAGCTGGTTTCATGCAACTCGGGCGTAATGCCTTTCTCGATAGCTGCAAAATCGCTGATAATGATGTGTTGTACCACCAAGCCTTGCCCAAGTGGATGAAACCCGCCATTACGAATAGGTTAAACATATAATTTCTCAACACTTTCCAAGTCATTTAAGAAACAAACTACTAAACAATTCAAGGAACAAATCACTAAAAATTTTATTTACCGTTTTTTACGGAATAGCAAAATGGGTGAGACGCCCTTGCCGTACCAAAGTGATAATTTCATTAAATATTCAACACTGGACATTCACAAGCACTGAAGACAAAAGTATTACCCGAATTTCTGTTTCCATATAGTACACTGTTTGATTGGTGCGATACGTAAAACTGCAAGAATGCAGATAGACCTTAAGTAAACCGCATATAATTCACCATACTCAACTTTGTTGAACTTTTGCGTCCAGTTTAAACTCGCCTATAGACGGGTGTCATATGGTGACGTACATTTATTGCAGCTAAACTAACCATGTCGCATGTACAATGCGCTATTGATGAAGACGATAATCCACGTATCGTTATTTAATATTCTTTTCCTGCAGGTTTGTCCACCTCGGTCTATGCAATTCTAGTGGAGGTTTGCTTAGCATCTACAGCTGTTAATCGCTGCTAAACCTTTATACAAAATCGACTCAACCCGATAAGGCAAAGCCTATTGCTCTTTCCAGCTAATGGTAAATACCGCTAGGTAAGTCTTGCCGCAGGGACCGCTTCACGTGAACAATCATTTTTATAAAGTGAGAAACTATCTATATGATTAGTAAGGGATGAATTAATGATAAGCATAATGCGGCACCTTAGATACAAGCCCGGGGGGTCAGCAAGCGGAAAAATCTCCCGTGTATGCCGAAAGGCATGATAGTTCTTTCCAAAAAGTTCAAAAGATCATCTACCCAGTCCGAAGTTGCGCAAATAAAGAAAATACAATATCAGGAGGAGAAACATACACATTTTACACAACTATGAACCAAGCCGCTTCAGTCATTATGTTTTAAGTATGGTCCTAAAGACTGCGCGCAAATATTAACTATCTTTTGACTAGCCGTTTAATTTATCATTAATCGTTTCCTAGATATAGATTAATTTTATCTTGTGATTAAATTTCAACATTTGTTTACTTCCCTTACAAAGTTGTCGTACGTTTCTATGATCATATGCCACAGTCATAACTTCAGCATACAGCTCTGGTATTCATACTGAGTGCTGAATTAATTTATACTTCAATACGATAGAGTTAAATTAGGCGTCATTGCCTTTAAATTTTAAATATATATTTTTGGTAATCGTCACTGTTTAACGTTCGTTGTCCATTAATAAAAAAAACTGTAGGGTTTCGGTCTTCTAAGTAATACAGTACCCCTACTACATCATCCATATCTCCTTGCAATATGCTTCACAGCTCTGACAATGATTACTGGATATAAATACTTATGTGAACATCCCTCAGCTTAGTTAAACGCATTGTACATGTTCGCTTACCTTCGACTAGCCATATCGTTGTCTTCGTCGTCACCGCCGTCACCGTCGCCGCCGTCGTCGTCGCCGCCGCCGCCGCCGCCGTCGTCGTCGTCGCCTTCGTCGTCGTCGCCTTCGTCGTTGTCGTCGTCGTCGTCGCCTTCGTCGTCGTCTTGGAAAGTTCTCTGCTCTCAACTGTAGCAGCAATTCAATATGCAGGTGCGAAGATCTTTGCGTGTTGTCCTTGCCTACCTCAATCTAATTCTTTTGTCGCCGACCGTTTCTTTATTACTTCTCAGTGACGAACGCAGCTTTGCGGCCTTCTCAGATATGATTCACCTTTTGATATTCTACTTTTGTCAGAATCAACCAATTAAACAATATTATACAGCGTGTTCTCTTCTCTATAGGGACTGACGCTCGAGTACCGCGCAGTATTCAGTCAATGAGTTTGGCAGGCCTGCTGTTGACGGGGCCGAGAAGAGCAGCGTAATGCACACATACCTACGCACACTGTAAACACTTCTATGGACTTCTTTATATATTAGAGGTTTTGAGCTTCCGAGGAGGCGATCGAAATGAAACCATTGCCGTGCAGCACAATCAAACGAAGATACTGACTGGCCAACGATAACAATTCGAACGGCAATATCTTAGTATTTGTAGCACTAACTAAATAATAACAACAGAAACACCACGACTCGACCAGTAGCGACGCGCCATTTTTGAGCCACGGGGCATTCGAAATGGAAACAACCGAAGACGTAGTTCTTCACTGAAAACAGGTGCAGTCTACAGATGACTAGTACAATGCGTTATGAGACGATGAATTAAGTATTTTTGTGTAGTATTGCAGTTGTAGAAGCCACTGTACTTGTAGCGTTGTAGTACATGGCAAAAGTAGACACTACAAACAGGCCATCTTTCACTTTCTATGCCGTATACGCCGCAGTCTATATAGAATCGATTATATCGTATAATTTTCGATAATACGAAGGTACCTGCAAAATTGAGCAATGTGATAATTGACTTACGGCTAACACAGCGAGCTTTTTCACACCCGTCACGTCTCGAGTAAGAACGGGGTGCCGGGCTCTAACGGCCGTATCGACGACTTCTCTCTATCTGTTAATATTGTTATAGAGTAGGCTATATCGGCAAATAGTGGCCATGCAGCGTAGTAGTGATTCACGTCGTGAGTTTGTATGTGTAGTTTTTATATGCAGTTTTTGTCGGGGGTTCGAATCAGAGATATAATAACAATTGCATTTGATAGGTACAGTCAAGTTCAGCTGATTAACGAAATCTGCGGCAACAGTTTCAGCCAAGTCTTTTCATCTCTGCAATTCTGTCTCGTAGGATTGAGTCAGCTGCGTTAATGTTTTCCTAGTAACGTGGAGAAAATGTCAACATCTGGTGGCATATTTCTGGCTGTCTAGGTTGTATACGAGTGGTATGGCATTGGTCAACATTTCAAGGTCTACTACGACAATCAAAGTCCAAATCCGTGTGTTTTTGATCACGGCCGCATCTTCTTCTATTCTGTGTGCTTCTTCCGTCAAAGTGACCACGACCTTTTCCAACTTTTTGTTCTTCCAAGCAAAATAGCACCTCGTAGGCTTATTCACGCTGCGTACTGTAACGTGGACAGAATAGAGCGGCAGGACAGGATCAAACCATGGTGTGGAGGAACAACAGCCGCTAGGCAGTGCAAGAATTACTTCTCGGGAGGGCAATTAGTGACTAACACGCACGGTTTTGTAGCGATTCCATGATGGTTCGATCCTAGCTTGGCGTTTAGCACGGGGTATGGTCTGCTTTCTTTACTCACACCTAAAGAAGAGTTTCTTTCACTGTCAACTCCCCTTACTAGTTAACTGATACGTACGTGCATCGAATAGCTGCAAAAGTAGAGCAAACAGCCGTTATACGTCGAGATATTAGCAGAAACACCGAGTCGTCAGTGGATTGTTGCCCCCCCCCCCCTTCCCGTTTATTAGAGAAGCGACTTCGTACGGACAGGTTACAGTCTCTTCACAGAGACGCGGATAGATCAGACAAGTTTTCCTGTTCGCTCTGGCGTTGTTGTATCAATGAGAAACCCTATTGCTATCGGTGCCTATCTCGTATTTGCCACTGGCATTCGCCTTTGTTTTTTTGCGTCGTTGTTGATCCTGTTGCTCCAATCGCAATTTAATTGTTTCTTATTCAGTCAAAATGCCGATTGGTACTGGCCATGGTAAGTCGCTGGGCAGATGCTTTCGCGGCGATCTTTTACGTTCCACAAGAACGACAACAACTGTCAACAGGAATAATGGCAATAATAACGCCGCCGATAATACGACGACGCTGGGTACAAGAAATATAACCCTCGGCCACCTCCTCGAATCTCTACTTGGATGTCAAATGCCACCACTGCCCGTATAGTGAAACCCACTATCCACTACACCATCACCAGTCCACTGCCAAATACCGCATCAGATCACTCTAACGGGGAAAAAAACTCTTTCGTCCCAGCACTGAGAGGATTCCAATCATCTTCCGTCGTGGCTACCTGCACTAGTTCCAACACCTGTTATAAATACCACTGTGATGCCACTCCATCGATGCGCTACTCTACAATCTAAAGGTGATGATGACGATTCAACTACGGCTACTGGCAACCCACGAAAGTCTGTCTTTCGTTCTGCTTCGCTTCCCGAATCTTCCCGTATCCTATTATATTTTCTTCTTTCTAACACCAGTCCCTTCTCATCTAGCCTTCGTTCATTTTGTTGTCTGCGTTTTATCGCTTTACCATACTTCGATGTGTGATCAGATGTTTCCCTTCCGGTTCCGTGCCTTTTCCCTTTGTTGGCGTTGTGACTGTTGCTGGACGCTTTCCTTCTCAGCGGCCGCAGCCAATGTAATGTCACTTCACACGGCACAACACACAATACCGAGGCAAACCATCTGCATCAACGACGACGACGACGACAACCACAGCAACAACAACAATTCTTATACGGGGTTCTTCTCTACTTTTACTATATTATATAACAATCTAATTGTGAGCGTTTGTGAACACAATCTATGTACGATTGTCGACAGGCCCACAACGACAGAGCGAGACCCAGCCGCCGCCGCCGCCGCCGCCGCCGCCGCTGCTAGGTTTGGCTGCCACTAATCCGACCGACAGCAGCTTTAATAAACCAGTTTATCTATGAGAGCTAATAGAAGTGAGGCTATACAACAGCAGCGGCAGCACAAAGTTTATTGGCCGGATTTCGCTGGCGTTGGCGTTGGCCACACGACGGTGGCGATGACGACGACACGAAGCGACAAACCAGCGAAACGGCGGCACGTTCCCGTCTGTACGTCGGCGACTGCTACGCAAGCAGCCGCCCATCACACTGGGACTACCGAGGAGGAAAAGATCGCTGCTACATCCGCCAATACTAGTAGTATTACTGCGGCCTGCTCTCACATGCCAGTGCCAGACACACAGAGCAGCATGCCAACCAGCAGGCCGACGGACGAACGCTGTTCAAAGGTTGAACTGACTTACGCCCTGTCTCGCTGTCGGAGTGTTTGGCTGTTCGACCCCGGCGGCCTGCCGCTTTTCACTCACTGTTTCCTACAGCATCGAGTCTTACAAGACCATTCGTTTGTCGTCAGTAGGACGTCACGGCTGCCGTGTTATGTTCTGTTCTGCTCTGCTCTGCCTTTATCATCACGCAATACACTGCGTAGTTAGCAAGCAGCAGGGGTAACAATAGCGACGGCGGCAGTTGTGGCCACGGTAAGCAGAGTGGTCAGTTGTCGATGTCGTTATCGTCAGTCGCTGGATGGAGAGTTGGTCTGCTAAGATTTTTGTGGATCAGAACAGCACACGACAGAACGGCAACAGCCATAGCACAATAGTACTGCAGATTTTGCAGCGGCTGTATCGGTCTTCGTGCCCGTATTTTTGTCAGTCGGTATCTGGCATAATAGGTGGCTCGGTAGTCTGTGTCTAGGGATAAGCACATGTGACGGTCTGCCTGTGTCCCGCCTATATGTGGTGTTCGAGTTGTAATATGACGAACAGCCGTGCGAACGCCAGCGGCCGAGGTGGACAAACCGAGCAAAATAAACAAACATACAGACAGACAGGCAGGTCAAGCGATTGGCTACAGGCTAACAGGATTATGGAAAATAACAACAAAAAAGCAGACGACGCTACTGCTGCGGGACCTAACCAGCGCAGTGCGAGGCAACGGATCGGAAAGAGATGTACAGGTTATAGAGAAGAGCGAAACCGCATAGAAAAAATGACGACAATATCGGCGATCTGTTTCTCTGATTTTTCGATTTCAGTGGGGTCAGAACTTCTTTTATGCGTCGAAATTAGAATTGACACTGAGTAGACCTTAATATACATTAATAGTTTCAACACGCATATGCACTTTAACTCTACGTACCTATTATAATTCACATGAATCTATTTATGTTAGTCCTCGATGTTTTCGCTGTACGGAACAGCGGGTCCTACAGCTTTCCCCATCATACATATGGTGCTAATGAATGTTACAAGCATAGGATCATGTTGAGCAGCGAAACACACAGTACATGAATGAATTTCTACTCAATGAAAGAACACTGCGTAGAATTAGAGAGCTGAAAAATTAGAAAGGCTGGTTACGGCAACGACACCGCTGGTACATTAGGCTAGCTCGAGGCAAAGTTGATAATAGACTCGCACAGTCGTGACGTTGGGTAGTTAAGAGATGCAGCAAAAGCGAGCGTTTGGCTAGCACGATAGTTACTGTTCCGTGAAAAGATCATGTTCGCAAGCTGGTTGATGTCTGGTAAACTTAAAAGGATAGAGTCATAAAAAAGAATGAAAAAGAGAACGAATAACGATATATTGAGAGGTAATAAAGATCTGTTCAAACGCAATAATAACCGTTTACACTTGTAAGCATATTGAAAACGACTCTGTTCATTTTGTCATAATAGTAATAAAAAAAAGGTGACAACTAGGCTATTTTGAAAAATGAAGCTATAAGTGATCCAGAGGCCCACTAATGATTACTTCA